TGGCATGAACTTCGAACGGATCGTTTACACGCCCGCAAACTAACACCCCAAACGCCAAAACTCAAACCTAAACCCTAAACCCTAAACCCCTAAACCCCTAAACCCTAAATCAAGCATCGAAACTCTTTAAACGAGGTCACGGTCTTCCGACGGACAGCCGTTGACATCTGCATCTGGCAAGAGAAACACATCGCCCGCGAGGCGGTGACAGGGGTAGGGTCGCAAGATTCTTGGCGTGTAGTTTTGGGGGCCCAGAGAGCCCAATACCCCTTAATTAAGGAATATGTCTTAAACCATAAGGGGCTTAATATTATGATTTAAGGTATATTCCTTAATTAAGGGGTATTGGGATCTCTGGGGCCTTATTAATTAGAATAGGATTTTGGGGTATACCATACTATATGTATAAGAAGGAACCCCCAGTAATAGCATTGGTAATTGTTTAGGCCCCTATAGTAGGGTCAAGTCTGCGGAGCTCGGTTGGATGAAGCAGGAGTCTCAATACCGTTGGGTCAGGTAGTTTTCAACCAGCTCTTGAACATCTGTCCTAAACCACCTATACCCTAAGGCCCAAATACCTACAACCCCAGAATCCTGGACCCCACTTAAAGGCGGCTTAGGGGACTTAGCAAGTAGGGCTATAGTTGCTGTTTTTAAGTGTAGGTTTATCCTCATTTTTAGCCCTAAACCCTAAATCCTGACCCTAAACCCTAAACCCTAAACCCTAAACCCTAAACCCTAAACCCCTAAACCCTAGACCCTAAACCCTAACTTTCAACCTTTTCTTGCTAAGTCCCATGAGCTCCGAGCCAAGGGCGCCACACAGAACCGGTAGCCGGAAGCACAATACCCCTTTGGGGTTTAGGGTTTAGGGTGCCTTAATAGAGGATTGTACCTCCTCAACTTTTGGGGGAATCCATATACATATGTATATATTCCTCAATTGAGGGGTTTGAAATTTCTGTGTAGTACCAATGATCGGTCGCCGCAACTTACTTGAAAATGGTGCAAACGTGTGTAATGGCACTTCCAGTAGCAGTAGAACACTTCTGGTGTCGGTTTTTTTAGTTGGGAACGAGAAACTCTACGAACAGTTTACCGGCAGCAATCGGTCAAAGCTTCAATAAACCTTTAACCCCAAACTCCCGCAACCCACAACACCCGAAACCCTAAACCCCAAAACTTCTTGCCCGGTGTCGTGTTTCGCCTAGTGTGTGTCAGACTGCCAGGCTGCCTTGCAGGCAAAAGCAACAAACATAGACGCACCTTGGCTGCATGTTGCCTTACTTAAAAAGCTCATGGGACTTGGTAAGCAAGGTTATAAGTAACCCTAAACCCTAAACCCAAAACCCTAAACCCTAACCTCCTTCTGGTGCTGGACCAATTATAACCCTAATTACTACGTCCCCTGAGCCTTTGAGTCGTCGCTGACTATCCAGCCTAAACCTAAAAAACCTAAACCCTCGATTCTCAACCCTCAACCTAAACCTAGACCCTAAACCCTAGATTCGGCCTAGATTCTCAACCCTAAACCAAACCCTAAACCCTAGATTCGGCCTAGATTCTCAACCCCAAACCCTGGCTAGGCATCCAAGGCCTTGAATCCGGACAGAGAGAGGCCTCGGCCATCAACCAATATCTCGGTTGACCTTGGGGATCATAATTATAGGATTTAGGGGATGGGGTTTAGGGTTTAGGGTTCAAGGTATAATGAATATAGGGGCCTTCATAATTAGAAAAGGGTTTGGGGGCCCACTATACTATCGTTATAATCAGGAACCCCCAAAGATAGTATAGGTAGTTATGTAGGCCCCTACATTACCATCTCAGAAAAGGTAGGTTTAGGGTTTAGGCGAGGATTCAGGATTCAAGGTCTAGGGTTTAGGGTGGGATTAAGGATTCAAAGTTTAGGGTTTGGGGATGTTCTGGCTGTTCTGGTTCTTTCAACTGAGGCAAATTTAGGGAACCCGCTATCTGGTAGGGTTTGGGGCTACAAGTAAATCTCTAGGCTGGGTCTGCCAGTGGGCTCTTTTTCCACCTTGTAAGGTTTGGGTTAAGTTCCTTATAGAACGACCCACTCTAAACCCTGAGCCCTAAACCCCAAACCCTAAACGCTAAACCCCTTAACCCTAAACCGTAAACCCTAAACCCTAAACCCTCCCTTAAAGGAACCCAAAACCCTAAGCCCTAAACCCTCAACCCTAAACCCTAAACCCTAAATCCTAAACCATAAACCTAACCTAAACCCTAAACCCCAAACCCTGAGCCCGTTAAAGGAACCCCTCGAGCTGAGGTCGGCTTTGCGGTTTTCCGGAAGTTGGGCCCGGGTGCCGATGGGAAGATGCAGTGCGCCTTTTGAGCTTTCGGGGTTTTCGGGTTTCGGTTTTTTTTGGTGGTTTTGGGACTTTAGGGTTTTTTTTGGGGGGGGGTTCGGGGGTTTAGGGTTTAGGGGTCAGGGGTTAGAGTTTTTGGGCTTTGTTTTTTTTTGGTGGTTTTGGTGTTTAGGGGTTTTGGGGTTTGGGGGTTTTAGGGGTTCTAGGGGTAAAGTGGTGCCGCGGAACCACCCGCCAGACGCTGGCCTGGTGAAAAGACGACGTCTCGAGCCAGTCCCGAAGCAGCCTCCGTTTCCCGCCACCCGGATGGTGCGTCACGAAGAAGGAGGGCACTGGCGTGGATGGCCGCCGAAGGACGAGGAGCCAGCTGTGGACCTGGAGGGAGACACCGAGGAAATGGCCAAGAAGGTAATGGACAAGAATCTTAGGAGCCCAGTAGGTAAACTTTAAACTTTTTGGTATATTAAACCCCCTACTAAAAGAAAAGTTTAAACTTTTTTGGGCCAGGGTACTGGGCTTCAAGGAGAAGGAGCCAGCTCTGGACCTGGAGGGACGACCCGGCAATCTTAGGTTCGTGAGCAACGGACGCGTTGGCTCACACTGAGGGTGTCGGGGAATATACAATGCTCTTCACCTCGAATCGGCGCTTGATGTCTCAGGCTTTTCGGTTCACGTTATTCCGTTTTTTAGACAGAGTCAGCTTGTTTCAGTTTCACTTGAGTGCAGGTCTCGGCAATACGCCCGCCAAGCGCAGAGCACGCTCGCGCAGCGTTCAGTTGCAAGATTTAGGGTTTTATGGGTTTTAGGGGCTTTCGGGGTCTAGGGGTTTTGGGGTTTTAGGGGTTTTAGGGGTTTCAGGGGGGGTTTTAAAGGTTTTACAAATTTAAGAATTTTAAAATTTTAGGGGTTTAGGTGGTTTAGGGGCTTTTGGGGGTTCAGCGGTTTTGGGGTGCTGGGGTTTTGGGGGTTTTGGGGTTTTGGGGCTTTAGGGGGTTTAGGGGTTTTGGGGGTTGTAGGGTTTTGGGGTTTTAGGGGTTTAGGGGGTTCAGGGTTTTAGGGGTGTTCGGCTTAGGGCTTTAGGTGTTTAGGGGTTTTGTGGCTTAGGGGATTTAGGGTTTTAGGGTTTAGGGGTTAGGGCTTATGGCTTTAGGGTTTAGGGCTGTTAGGCTTTGGGTTTTAGGTGTTTAGGGCTTAGGGGTTTGGGGGTTTTAGGGGTGTAGGGGTGTAGGGCTTTGGGGTTTTTGGGGTTTAGGGTGTAGGGGTTCAGGGTTTAGGGGTTTTCAGGGGTTTGGGTTTAGGGTTTCGGGGTTTAGGGTTTAGTGGCTTAGCTTCAGGGTTTAGCTTTTTCGGAGTTTGCTGTTTTTTGGGAGGCAAGGTGTGGTTGATTTGCTGTCTTCCCTTGACATGCCTCGTCCCTAGTCTTGTCTAGCACCTGCTCGTTCCACTGCAATAATTTGGCATCGTGTCCTTGTCGGTGATTTTTTAGGGTTTAGGGTTTAGGGGTCTAGGGTTTGGGTTTATGGCGTCGCGTCCTTATCGGTGACTTTTTTTCGCAAGAGTCTGTCCGGTACAGACTTGGAAGAGTCCGAAACTAAGCCAAGTACACCCGAGAGCGCAGTGCCCTTTATCTAAGGAATATGCCTGAACTTCTACGGGATTTGATTTAAGGCATATTCCTTCGTTAAGGTGGTGTTAAACCCTATAAACCCCGATAAATCCTCTAAGGGTGCCCTTAAAGAAACCCTGGTCTCTTCCTCAATAGACCCTAAACCCTAAACCCTCAAAGGAGCCCTGAAAGAACCCTACTTGGAGGGTCAGGGGGAGTAGAGGTTATAAGTGCCCCAAAAGGGATCCTAATGGGTAGTTCTCCGTAACTCGGTGGTAACCTCAAGGACAGAAAGAGCCCTCAAAGGGTTTAGGGGTTAGGGCTTAGGGTTTGGAGATAAGTAGGTTGTAACCTTAAAGACAAAAAGAGCCCTAAAGGGGTTTAGGGTTCATATAGCATATAGGATTTCATAGTACAAGGGTATAGGGCCAACCCCTTTATACTTTTAAGGGTCATCTGGTCCTTCATGAAAGGGATCCTAATTGGGATTATGAGACTATATAGTGAAGCCCAGAAAGTTGGAACATGGGTTTCGGAGGATTAGTGCTAGGATCCCTTATACTCTACCATAAGGGCAGGAGGATGATAATGTTCCGACTTTCTGGCTTCCACTGTAAGTTTTAACACCAGCAAGTTACTAAGTCCCCCAACTCGCCAAGTCGTCCGTGGGCCTGGACAGAACCTACGAATAGGAGGGTTTAGGGTTCAGGGTTTAGGGTGTAGGGTTTAGGGTGTAGGGTTTAGGGTTCAAGGTTTAGGGTTTAGGGTGTAGGGTTTGGGGTGTAGAGTTTAGGGTGTAGGGTTTAGGGGGTAGAGTTTAGGGTTTAGAGTTTAGGGTTCAGGGTTTAGGGTTCAGGGTTCAGGGTTCAGGGTTTAGGGCTTTTTTAGGGCTCAGGTTTCAGAATTCAAGTACCGAACATATCTAAAAGGGGACAGGGGATAGGGCTTCTGAAACTTGGAGGTCCTTTTGATGTGGGGCGAACCCGCTACCGCATGAGCCCTAAACCCATGTGTTTACGCTTTAGGAGTGGGGGTTTAAAAGCCCAAATCCGCTGAAAAAGGTACGACCTCACCGAGTATGTTGGACGCGCCCGCGCCGACGACGTCAGCGAGGAGATGATCCTCGAAGGCAGCGACAGCTCAGGATTGCTACTTAAGGGCCCAGGGATGTAGTAAGTACTCACAAGTGGGGATTAGGAGTACCCTAAGTTGATGACCTTACTTACTAAGTGCCATGAGCCTTCAAGTAGGCTCTTCTTGTTGAGGTTTTAATTCAATGGAGTTTATTGTTTTGAGGGTCTAGGGTTCGGGGGCCCTAAACCCTAAACCCTAAATCCTTAACCCTAAACCCTAAATCCTAAACCCTAAACCGTTAAGGTTTCGGCTCGAGCTTGACGTAGATAGCCACTGGGGCATCTTCTGACTTCCCAGAGAGCCCAATACCCCTTAATTAAGGAATAGACCTTAAATTGCCTTAAATCATAATATGAAGCCCCTTGTAGTTAAAGGTATATTCCTTATTTCAGGTGGTTTTTGGCCTCACATATTTGGTCTATCCCGGAAAGGTTTGAACTTGTTTGAGCCCGGCTATGGAAGAAGAGGGGCCAGGGTGTCCGGATTTAGGGTTGCTTTGTAGGATCTATAAGAGTTTTGGGGAGGGTTCAAGGCTTTTTGATTTAGGGTTTAGGGTTTGGGGCCCTTCCTTATCAGTTTTATACTTATAGTGTAACTTTGCACTGAAATTGGTTCTAGGTCTTACCCTAAACCCTAAACCCTAAACCCTAAACCCCATATTTTGCAGCCCACGGGTCCCGCGGGCCAGGCCCTCAAAGAAAGGGGGCTTCATTCAGCCCGATTTTCTGCTCACAGGCTCTTAAGGGACTCCGTAAGTAGCTTGTAGGGTTTATCTAAGGTTAGAAGTATGGGCCCCTGATATGGGTTCATGGGTTCGACCTTAGGATTTAGGCTCTAGGGTTTAGGGTTTAGGGTTGTAACCTTAAGGACAACAAGAGCCCTAAAAGGGTTTAGGGTTCATATACCATATAGGAATTCATAGTATTCGGGTATAGGCCCCCTACTTTGAAGGGTCAGTCGGTCCGTCAGGAATTGGGGATATAAGTCCCGAAGTGGTGTTATCTTATTTGCAGCTTTATTTCTAACCTACTTGCAAAGTCCACCCTAAGCCCTAAACCCTAAACCCTTGAGCCTTTGAGGAATCCCTCAGCCCTAAACGCCGCCACGTTACGCAGGGGGATATGTCTACCGCGTTGTGCCCGTCTCTTTCGGCCTTGCCCAGGACTGCGAGCTTTCGCATTGGCGACTTCAGGGTTTAGGGTTTGGGGTTTAGGGTTCAGGGTTCAGGGTTTAGGGTTTAAATTACGGTTCAGGGTTTAGGGTTTAGGGTTCAGGGTTCAGGGTTTAGGGTTCAGGGTTCAGGGTTCAGGGTTTAGGGTTTAAATTACGGTAGGGGTGCGTGCCCTACCGCCCAAACCTCAAATTTAGTTAAACCCTAAACCCTAAACCCTGGGGCTTCAGGGTTTAGTGGTTTAGCGGCTCAGGGTGTCGGTTTCAGACTCTGGGGGTTTGGGGTTTAGGGTTTCAGGAGCTTCCCAGGTTTTGTGCTTTAAAAATGTAGGTTGTAGGGTTTAGGGTTCGGGGTTCGCCGGCGCCCGTCGTCCCGATCAATCCGGAACCTGAAGCACCACGCCTGATGCGGAGCACTCTGCTCGCGGGCGGTCGGCAGGGAGCAGCGGCGGCTCTGCCAGCAGCGGCGCCTGCGGCGGCACCGGCCGCCGTGGTCCAAAGGAGCACAGGTCGTGCAGCAGGTTGGTGGCAAACGCTCTCCCGCGTGTGTCATGAATGCTGACAGCTGCGGCCCGGCATGGGTTCGGATTGGGACGGGCTCACGACCTCGCACCCCACGGCACACATTGACTTCAACAACCACGACACACATGACGCCAAGGCGACGACGCAACTACTGCGTCCTCATGCAGCCTCCTCTTCCCGTGCTTGGAACGGGGTTGTCTGGGATTGTATGGTCTCGGGGTTTACTGCTTACTCACCTACGGGTGTCAGAGCAGACAGCGCATCCAGCAAGTCAGAACATTGACATGTTAGCACCCACCTGAGGGACCAAATCACCCTAAAAGGTAGGAGCCCTACACCCTTATACTATGAATCCCTATAGGGTATATGAACCCTAAACCCTTTTTGGCTTCTTGTCGTCCTTAAGGTTAGCACCCAGCAACCACGACCTGAACTGCAGAGGTTTGCGCATTGTGGCTTTAGGGGTCTGGGGTGTCGGGTTTTAAGAGGTAGTTTGGGCCCTAAGTCGTCTAAGCCCTAGGGGGCCCTACATAAACCCTGACCCTCAAACCTAAACCCTAAACGCATTTTTGGTTTAGGCTGTATGGTGAGGTTGTCATTTCGCTAGCTCAAACTGAGACTGAGAGGGGCCTCTGATGCGTTTTGAAGTTTGCTTTTGGATTATGCAGCTTTTTCTGTGCTGTCTTTTACAATAACGCTGCTTGGGTTTAGAGGGGTTACGGCATCACTCGTCTTGTTTCGCTGGCCGCATATCTGTTGGTTGCAAGATGAAGTTTGACATGCATGGCGCAGCACCAGGACTTCACGGGAAGCCGCCGCACAATGACTTGAAGCGCTAGGTTAACCTCAATCCGCTCGCGTTTGCGTGCAGAAGTATGCTGACCTTCCTGTCCCGGCGCAAAATTCCATCGCCACCTAAATGCAAGATAATTGCCCAAGCCTTCAGCCGTCCTCAACGCACTATGACAAGATATAATTCCCTTGAGTGCCTTAAAAGGGTGACCAACGGGACCATGGTTTAGGACAACGAACCTGGCCCAACCTTGCTAGCAAGGAAGTCTCGCCACGCAAAGCCGTCGTTGCGGTGCATTCGGTCGGCATCTCGGGGTGAACCCTAAACCCTAAACCCTAAGCTTTAAACCCTAAAACCCTAAACCCTGAAACCCTTAACCCTGGCTCTTGACTTTCGAGAAACTCGAAGATTTCCCACGTCTTCCGAGCGCTACCCTGGATCTCAAAACACAGGCCCCGTCTAAGCCTCAAGCCGTATTCCCGGAAACCCCAAATTGGCCTACACGCTAGTTCCTGCGCTTTGGAGGTTTCAGAAAGTGAGGGATTCGGGGGGCCGAAAGACCGTTGTAAACGACCCCAGCAACACGTATGGCTGGACAGGATCCAAAGGCGGTTGCGCCGCCTCTGAAGTTTCACTGGCTTTCTTTTCGGGGTTTAGGGCGTAGGGCTTGGGGCCTTTAGGGTTTGGGGTTTTGGGGCTTAGGGCTTGGCGTTCAGGGTTTAGGGTTTAGGGTTTGGGGTTTTAGGGCTTAGGGCTTGGGTTTCAGGGTTTAGGGTTGGGGTTTTTGGAGTTGGGGGTTTAGGGTTTTGGGGTTTTGGGGTTTTTGGAATTAGAGGTTTAGTGCCAGGGTAGGGGTCCTTGTCCTTGTCCTCGTCATCGTCACCATGTTTGGACGCCATGTTAGAATTGTCGGCAGACTAGAGAAACCCCTCAGCACAGAGATCAAGACGTCAAGCCATCCAGAGATCCAGACGTCAACCCATCCAAGTTTTTCAAACCCTGTCTATAGAAGGCACCAGAAGAAAAAACAAACAAACACATGTGTGGGTTGTCCAGAACACGAGAGTTGGGCATCAGCCTACGACTGTGTTTGAGGTCCAGACCATCGAGACCCAGAAGGTCACGCTGGCCGGGAGCTGAGTCGGGTTAGGGGTCAGGATGTTAACGGTGATGTCCGCAGCGGTTTCTGAGGAAGTAGCACCTTAAGGACGAAAGGAAGCCTAAAAGGGTTTGGGGTTCATATACCATTCAGGGATTCATAGTATAAGGGTATAGGGCCCGTACTTTTAAGTGTCATTTGGTCCTTACGGTGGCAGCAGCAGCAGCGGTAGCACTAGTAGAGACCGGATTCACCGAACTCTCAGATGGCAATTTGCTTAGATGTCCATTTGCTCCTGCACCTCAACACACTCCTGGGAAGAGCTGTGGCAGTTGGGAGCATTACAGTTTAGGGCTTATGGCTTTGAGCACCTCGATACAAGCTCATATTCACGGTTACCTCTGTTTCAATCGTAGGCCGTTCGATGCATCTTCAGTTAAAAGAAGGGGGTTCTGGATCTTGTTCCTAAAATGATCCATCCACAAGCGGCTGTCCTTCAAGAAGCCTTTTGGGTTTAAGGTTTTTCTGGTTTCAGGTTTACCTTAAGAACCCAAAACCCACTTTTTTGCAGGTTCTTATTATAAACCCTAATATGGGATGTATAGGGACCCTACAAAAAAGGTAGGTTTTGGGTTCTTAAGGTAGGGTTTTGGTCAGGAAAGCCACCCCCCAAACCATCTAGGATTGGTCGGACACGGCTGCAGCCGTGTTCGAGGGCGCACGGCGGAAAGGCAAGAAGAGGCACCGGTCGTACTTAGGGGAACTTACAAATATTTTTTAATCTTTGGCTACTATAAACCCTGCGAAGTGGCTAAAATTATACTTTTTGCTAGGGGTCTAAGTTCAGTATAGCGTAGGTGTATTATCTGGCGGCACAGTTTTAGGGGTCGGGGTTTGGACATCTACGTTTTGACCGTCGGCCCAACCTCCTGCACTGAATAATTACGCGCTTCATCTGCCGTTTCTGAGTGTAGGGGTGGGAATGCGTAGTTTTCCCATCCCTAGCCCGTGTATATCCTTTCAATTTTGGGAATATTCTGGAACAGCATACAACAACAATCTGTTCAAATTGTTCAGGCTCCTCAACTTCAAACGACTCGACAATGATCTCCTGTTAAGTTAAGATGCGTCGTCTGTATGGGTAGCTCTCTGAATGTTTCAGGGTCCCCACAGCAAGAGTGAGGTTGTCTATTGGGAACCCAAAACGACCTTAGTTTAGAGAACCGTTTAGGGTGTATAAGGTTTATGGGTTTATCGAGTTTACACATATCTGTATTTTCACCGCCCACGTCTTAAGCCCTACACTGCCGGACACCACTGCGATTTCGAAGGTTGTAGGAGGAAGGACTTTTTCAAGCTGCAACGGATTCCCGTGAAGTTTGTCTTGCGGGCCCATGGGACTTAGTAAGTAAGATTAGAAGTAAGGTCATATTTAGGATAACCCTACTTAGAGTCCTTGCAACCCCAACTATAACCCTACTTACTACGTCCCTTGAGCCCTTAAGTATGGGGATCTTTCTGAGGAGCATACATGTATGTATTGGGCTCTGTGGGTCTATATTGGCAACTTAAATCAGTTTCCGCAACAAGAACCCAAGCACAGCCCAGGGCCCGGGGTTGAGGGATAGTCTTCAGAACAGTACCAACACAAGTAGGGTTCACAAAATCAATGAACTTAGCTATCTCGGTGAACTGCCGGGACGACCAAAAAAAGTTGAAAGCGTGACTGCGAGAAGCTCCGTCGCATCGCTAAGCCGTCGACATCTGCAGGACCACAGTACCAGACAGTCACTAAGAAACTGCGCACTCCTTGAATTATTCATTCTAAATCCTGGGGATCCAGAAACCTACCGTTTTATGGGTTCTACCCTCTAATTAAGGGGTCGTAACCTACTATTTTGTAGGGTTTGGTGTCACAGGATGCAGTTAAATCCCGTAGACAAGTTCCCATGGACATACGGTATGGTTTCTCAGGACATTGATGCATTAAGTAGTTTTTGATGAGGCAGTAGGCCTACCGTGAGGGTCTGGTTTACACTTTACGCGCGTGGGAAGCACCAAAGTTTGGGGTTCAGTCCGCTGACCTTCCCATCAAGGTTTAGGGATTGTTGGTTAAGGGTAAAGGATCCTACACTACAGATGACAGTAACGAAGAACACTTCGCCTAAACCCTGCACCGTGCAGCTGCATAAGCTAAACCCTAAACCCTCAACCCTAAACCCTGGTGGCATTCGCAATCCCAAACCCTAAATCCTAAACCCACCGGCCCAAAATCTTCTGACCACGGTACATTGAAACGTCATCGCCGCCCTAACCCCTAAGTCAGGCATCCCAAAATGAACACAAAAACTCCAAGAACAACCCTAAACCGGTTTAGGGTTTGGGGTTTAGGCCTAAACCCCTAAACCCTAAAACCTGGTAGTATTTTTAATCCCAAACCCTATAATCGTTTAAGTAGGGCTTCAGGCTTTAAGCTTTCTTTTAGGCTTCACGACTTTGGGATTAGGATTTCTGGGTTTAGGGTTTAGGGTTGACGGGGTTAGCTCCTTCAAACTACCCTATATAAACCCTAAACCCTACACCCTAAACCCTACTGGAGGCAATTTCCAAACTTGGCAAATGGGGTGTCGGCCTTTGTCCTCCAAGAGGAGGCAGGTGATCGATGAGCTTTCGGGTTTTATATAACATATGGCCTTTAATAATTAGAGCAGGTTTTTGGGCTCCTTTATTCTGTCCAGAGAAGGCAGATTGTGTTTTAGTGATGTGGTTTTGCAAGGGTTATACACAGCGGCTCGGGGATGAAAATGCAGGGATTTGGAGGGCTTGGAGTTCTGGAATTAGCTAGGTAGGCCTTGGGGACATTTTGCATTTTCCCTAGAGGACCTTATATACGAGTATGTTTCAAGGGCTTTAAAGGGGCAAGCTAGAGTAGAAGCTAGAGAGTGGAACATCATTATCCTCATGCCCTTAAGGCAGAGTATAGGGAATCCCGGCAGAAATCATCCTGAATCCATGTTCCAACTGTCTGGGGTTCGCTGTAGGTAGCTTTAGGGAGTTCAGGATTTCTGCAATCGATCAGCGCTTACATCGCCTCATCATGTGTTCATGCTTTGTCGCTTCGTGCAAGACGCAGCCCTTGCAGCCAGCCCCACGCCTGAAGAGTCCTAAACCCTAAACCCCAAAAAGCACACCTGAAGACGAAACACTGCGTAAGCCCTGAGCCATGAGACATCACCCTCTTCGTACCTTCACCTACCAGAACCTTCTCGTTTGTAGGGTCCTGAAAAATATAGACATATAGAACTGAAAGGCTTTCAACATTGTCTAATATAGACATATAGAACTGAAAGGGACCCTACAACAAAGTAGGTGAAGGTAGGCTTTCCCAGAGAGCCCAATACGCCTTAATTAAGAAATATACCTTAGATCATGAGGGGCTTCATATTACGATTTAAGGTATATTCCGGGGGTTGGCTTTCGTCATCTTTGAGGCCGGTTTATCTCTGGTTGCCGAGAACTCCTCGGATCAGTTGGCAGCCATGCAGGCCCGTGGCCTCGGGTTTAGGGTTTAGGGTTTAGGCAGTCGGTGCGATTTCAAGACATGATAATCTTGTTGATTGCGATTCCTGACTTTGCCTGTCTTACTGTGGGTTTAGGGTTTAGGGTTATCACCATCACGATCATGATCGTGATCATGTCATCATCACCACTGTCGTCATCGCCATCGTCATCATCATCATCATCATCATCATCATCATTATCATCATTACCATCATCATCATCATCATCATCCTCATCATCATCACCATCAGCAGCAGCATCCTCATCCCAATCATCTCAACTGTTTCCTTGACGCTCTGTTTAGGTTCTCGAAGGGTGTAGACTATCCACAATGCAACCAATCCCCAAGCCCGATTTTTCCTGGTTGGTGTCTTGCGGAAGCCATGACTTGTACTTCCCCCTAGCAAACGAGACCAGACTAGACCAGAGCAAACAGCCAACTTGGAAGATAAGCCCTAAACCCCAAACCCTAAACCCTAACCCGCGGAAGGTTTTTATGTTTGAAATTGGCAATGAAAGGTGGAGCGCGACAGGAAGAATTCTGGGCCTTCGGTTTCTGCTGGTCTATAGGGAATTTTGGTATTGGGGGTTTGGGGCTTAGGAGTTTCTAGGCTTTAGGGTTGCGGGGTTTAAGGGTTTTAAGAAGGATTTGCTCAGAGAATGCCAACGCTGCAGACCACTGCAAGCGCGAGAGCGGAACATACGGCGAACCTTGAGTTATTGTTATGTCAACCCACAGCTCTGAACACATCTCTAAGCTCAAACCCCCTTAACCCTAAGCCCTAAACCCCAGACCCTAAACCCCTAAACCCTAAACCCTAAACCCATAAACCCTAAACCCCTACACCCTAAACTCTTAAAAGATCCAAGGGGTTTCAACCTCAACTGCTAAAAGCCGTATCCGAACACAAATCGGGCAGGTCGATGGAAACGACTGCATCGGCCGTGGCCCTGGCAAGGAGTTTAGCGATGCAGGGTTTAGGTTTGGGGTTTAGGGGTTTCGGTTTCAGAGACAAGCCTGCCGTAGAGTGGAGACCTTGCTAAACCCTATGCCATGAAATCTGGACGAAAAAGCTATTTGTGGTATCGGGTTTGGGTAATATTGGGCCTGAACAATGAGTAATTCATAGTGTTCCTGAGGGTTCCTTGTAGCATATTGCTCGCATAGAGTTTAGGAAAGATTAAACCCTAAACTTTAAGCCCCTAAACCCTAAACCCCTCAAGCCTAAACCCTCAACCCTAAGCCTTAAGCCTTTTAGGAAAGCCTCAAAACTGCAACGCCGACCATATACGGGCCTAAACAATGAGTTGAAATCCTTAAAGTGCGTGAAGCCCTCAACCGAGTTGAGTGCTTTAGGACCGGAAAGGCCTTTCGTCTTCGGCCATTTGGAGTCTTGTACCCGGAAGCGTCACAAGAACTCCTGGGAGCGTCACCGTTTACAAGGTCGCCCTCGCCCTGCAGCACTCACGCCGGAATGGGTCAAGCCGTTATCTTGGACGAGTGCGCGAGCGGTGGTGGGCAAAAAACGCTGGGCTTCCTGTTCGTCCTGATCGCCAATGCTGAGGCATTCCACGCTCCCACCATCGTGTTACAATCAATCTCTCTTTCTCTCTGTCCTGGTGGCTTGCTCTCTTTCTCCCTCTCCTCCTCTATCCGTATAGACATATGGAAAAGCTAGACCCCCAACAGTCGAAGCAAAATCAATGCAATACCTCGTTTTGACTTCCAGAGCCCAGAATCCCTTTTGTTGTTATGGTTTAGGTCTTTAGGGCTTAGGGCTAAGAAGGCACACTCACCTTCACTTTAGGTCGTTAGGGCTTAGGGCTAAGAAGGCACACTCACCTTCAGGGTTTGCTTTAGTTTAGGGTTTGGGGTTTAGGGACTGTATACTGTGTGGGGAGAATCAAAATTCAATCGCTGTGCCCAGTTAGCCCAATACCCCTCAAGTAAGGAATATACACTAAAAAGGGGCTACCTATTATGATTTAAGCTATATTCCTTAAGTAAGGGCTATTGGGCCCTCTGGGTACTCAGCCCTACATACAAGGAGTTCTTGCTACACGAGGCATTGCACAACCTTCCACCGATCAGCCCTTTGGTGTCAGCAGCGTCAAAGACCCGTCCTCTCAGCAAGCCTCACCCAGAGAGTGCCAGGTCCCTTCATTAAGTTATACACCTTAAACTATAACATGAAGCCTTTAATTCAACCCTACACCCTAAACCCTAAACCCATTTAAGGGGTATTGGGCTCTCCGCAAGCTTCACAAGGCTGTGTCAGCTCTCGTGAGAGCTTCGACGCAGTGGTTGCCTTGCCTCCCAAGTCGCGGCAGGCGAGGTCCGGGGCAATGGGACTTAGTAAGTGATGTTATAGTACCCTAATAGGGCTTATAAGTACAATTGCCTTGATTTGTGATGTTATAAGCAACCCTATTAGGGTTATAAGTACAGTTGCCTTAATTTGTAACCCTCGTTGATAAGTGCCATGTTCTTTCAATTCAAGTAGGGACTCTAAACCCTAAACCCTAAACTCTAAACCCTAAACCCTAAACCCTAAACCCTAAGAGACTATTCGGATGAGAGGGTTTGCTCGGCCTTGAGAGGGTTCTGGAGCTTTCGAGGCCGAAGGGCTGTTAGACGCCAGTCATATTCTAGGGGCCTCAATAGTTACATGTGTTTTTTTTGGGGGGGTTCCTTTTTATAGTTATAGTATGATGGACTTTGTTTATTTTTATTTTGGGGGGGTCCTTTTTATAGTTAGAGTATAATGGACCCCTAAACCCTTTTCTAATTATGAAAGCCCCTACGTTAGGGGCTTTTGTGGTTGGTTTTGGGCTTTTAAGGCCTGAAGCCATGTTGCACAAAGCTCCAAAGGCCTTTCAACCCTAAACTCTAAATCGTTACGAGCTACGGGAATTTCTTACGAAGGTCATGCGACATTCTAAAACAGACTCCCAAGGCTTTGGATTTTCCGATCACAGAGAATAACATGGCTACAAAACAGACCGAGGGTTTAGGGTTTAAGGGTTTAGGTTTTAGGGTACCCGAATTTTAAGAAGCCTCCAAGCATGTTGCTTGTGCTGTCAGCCCCAAAACGTGAAACCCGGCATCCCCCCTTACCCCCCGAGCTCCAATTCATGTGTGGTTCGGGCTTCGCTTTTGCCTGCTACTCTCATATGGGTAGTCCCTACACCCTAAACCCTTAAACCCTAAATCCTAAACCCTAAGCCCTAAGCCCGAAAGCCTTAAAACCCTAAACCCTAAAACCCCTAAACCCTAAACCCCAAACCCTAAACCATACAACCCTAAACCCTAAACCCTCAAACCCTAACGCCCTAAACCCTAAGCCCTAAAACCCTAAACCCTTAAACCCTAAACCCTAAACCCTTAAACCCTAAACCCTTAAACCCTAAATCCTAAACCCTAATAATACGACAACCCCTCAGTCGAAGAGTTCCCCCTGAGTCTAAGGGTTCGGAGCTCTGAACTCTGATACCCAAACGCTGGAACACAGGGTTCAGGGTTTAGGGTTTAGGGTTTGGGGCTTTAGGGGTTTAGGGCTTCAGGGTTTAGGGTTTGGGGTTTTAGGGGTTTAGGGTTTAGGGTTCAGGGTTGTTGGGGCTATAAAAAATGATCATTCTTGATCTTTATTGGGTTAGTATAACAAAAATGTAAACTTGTAGCCGACAAGGACCCAGAATAGGACGACAAATCAACCCCGAATTCCGAAACCCTGGACTCATGAAAGAAATCCTTAACCCCCAAACCTGACAGCCTGAACCATCCTGGAACCATACACGTTGATTCCCGTTTTGAGGTCACCAAAAGACTACGGCACCCTTACAAAAAGGAGCCAAAAAGAGACGCGACTTGAGACTTCACTCGCGGAGGTTGTTCTGGGCATCGCCTTTGCAAGAGGGGCCATACGAGTTGGGACGGCAGCCGAGGGCTCAGTCGTATGGTCACTTTATTGTTTAGCGTGAATAAGAGTTGAGGGTTCAGGGTCCAGGCTCTTATGATAAGTTCTAATCCCTTAACTTTTTCGGCAGAACTCTCGGGTAGATCCTCGGGCTCAAATTCTTTGGTTTCATGTAGTATGTCAGGCGACCATGCTCGGCTTGAGTGCTCACACTACTACACTACATGCCATTGAGGAATTTGAGGACGCTGCGTTAGGTCCTTTCAGGTCCGTGCATGCCCGTTGAGGGTTTAGGGTTTAGGGTTTAGGGTTTAGGGTTTAGGGTGAATTCTCTTCAGAAAGGCTGTATTTCAGAGTTGTACATTAGAGGATTTCGTGCTAAGAGGAGAGCTTGTATATTGGCGGCTTACTTTCAAACTGTGATAGCACCTTTGCTCTCATGAACAAGGGTAGGACCCTAAGCGTTTGCAGTTGGGTCCTACATCAGGGTACTCGGCAGGGGTTCTACAACGGTCTCGAAATCCAGCTTTCACACTTTGGCCTAGGACTCGGCTTCAGCAAGTTCTCAATTCATAGTGACTTGCGTTTGTTAAGGTACCAAAGCTCGAGATGTTGACTATGCAGCAGGTTTGGTATTAATTAAGCCTTCTATATTTCGGTTCTTGTCCTGGACGGTTGGCACTGTTTTTTTGGTGCTATCCTCGCCGCTTACCACTGGTGGCATAGCCGTCCTCGAATGGCCGGAGCAGGAGAATGAGTGGGAGGGGGAGTCGCAGCATGTGTAGGTAAAGGAGAAGAATCAGCAGGAGCAGGAACCTAAACCCTAAACCCTAAATCCTAAACCCTTAAACCCTAAACCCCTAAACCCCTAAACCCCTAAACCCCTAAACCCTAAACCCTGTGGCAGTGCCCAAGGTTGGAGCCCAGGGCCTTCCCGGCGAGGCGGCGAACTTCGCGCTCGCAGGAGAGGGGGGTGGACCGGGAGTTTTTGCGATTTTTCAGGGTGTTGTAAGTAAGGGTGTTTTTAACTATTTGCAGCTTGCAGGGTCAAGGCTTCTATGTAGACTTTGGATTGTTGTTTGTTTTAAAGGGGTGTTAAGGGCTTTTAGGATCTCAGTGTCTTGGGTTTGAGGGCTTGGCAACGGTTTTACGATCGTTTCTTCAAGGTTCGGACTTTGGTGGTTCGAAGCCTAAAACCTAAACCCTAAACCCTCAACCCTTGCACGATTTTCATGGGATCCCTAATCCATTTGAGAGTTTCAGAAAATAGGGGACCCTGATATAGGACCCTAAATAGTAGGATCCTTATTATAAGGACCCCTAAATAGGGTACCCTAGTTTTCTGAAACTCCCATTTGATGCTGGCAGGTGTATGGGTCTGAATCGTGTTTTGTAGGGATTCGGGACCCAGAGAGCCCAATACCCCTTAATTCAGGAATAGACCTTAAATTATACGGGGCTTAATATTATGATGAAGGGTATATTCCTTAGTTAAGGGGTATTGGTATACCTTAAATTATACGGAGCTTACTATTATGATTACGGATATATTCCTTAAACAAGGGGTATTGCGCTCTCTGGGGATAGGTGTTCAGGGTCTGGGGGGCACCAACATCTCTATGCCTGCTTACGTATTTTCTTGTTTCTTGGGCGCAGAGTGCATAGATTAATTTCCTTAGCCATTAACAAGGACCGGGAAAAGGTACCCCTAACCGTAAACCCTAAACCTTAAAGCCAAAACCCCAAACCCTCAAATTTAAACCCTAAACCCTGAGTTTTAACTCCTAAACCCTAGACCCTAAACCCTAAACCCTAGTATCTAGGAACTGCCAATACCTAAACGTTACCTGGCCCCTCTTGTTCACTCCTCTTGAATTGTTTAAAGTTTAGGGTTTAGGGTTTAAAGTTTAGGGTTTAGGGTTTAAAGTTCATGGTTTTTGGTTTGAGGTTTAGGGTTTAAGGTTTACGGTTAGGGGTACCTTTTCCCGGTTCTTGTTAATGGTTAAGGAAATTAAACTCGGTACAATCGCTATTTTAGTATCTTTTTTGGGATCTCAAACTGATTTGCTTCAGCACAAGAGCCAGTTGTCGAGTGATCCTTTCAATAAAGATCCCACGGCTTGAGGTCTATATTCGGCCCGCATCCCGAACCACTAAAACCGTAAATCCTGCAGCCTTAGACCCTAAAGCCCTGCAGAACCCTTATGGAACCCTAAACCCCCTTATAGAACCTTCAACAACCCCATTGAATCCGTGAGCCCCAAAGCCGCCTGAAATACATACTTGGTTTCAGACTTTGAGGGAATTTTAGAATTTTGAACCTTTGGCCTTAGAGTAAAACCCCAAAAAGTTGGAAACCGGATTAAGTTAAGGACAGCTACTGCTGGGGTTCCTTATATACTAACCTTACTCATTGAGGCTGTAATTTGTTTACAAATAATATTAATAACAGTAGCAATGATATCAATTAAGAATAACAATATTAGCAAGAGTACTATTAATACGAATACTAATAACTCATATGGTTTCTAACTTTTAGGCTTAACACTCTAAGTCCCAAAACCCACACCTTCATAGACTGCTACACTACCACGAGGATCTACAGTACATGCATGATTTCCTTATGACGAATTCCGGCAACTGAATCATGGGACCCTAACCCCTAAACCCCTAAACCCCTCAAGCCTAAACCCTAAACCCATCTTGGCAAGCTGCCGCCTTGTATCGGAACCTGCAGTGGGAGGCAGTTCCGTACATTCTGGCATCCTTCGCAGAGAGGTACCTAACGAAGCACGCCTTCTCGTCGAACATGGCGGCCGCTCGACGGCTGATTCAGGGGGCGTTCTCAATCAACCCTGGCTTGACGTTCCCCGGAGTTCCGCTGTCGGCATGCTGGGCCATGATCTACTACGGGGTCAAGGCCGACGGCATGCGAGGCTCTGCGGCTTTCTTCATCCGAGCTCACGTCGAGAAGGGCAAGCTCGGGCGCTCGTCTCTTTCTGTGACGAGCGGGCCTGCCGGCTCTAGCAACTTTGATGGCCTCCGGTCGATCCTTCCGCAGTGGCTGGCGATGAACAGCCACGCTGGGCCGCTCTTCAACCAAGTGAGCATCTCGGTAACCTTAAACCCTAAACCCTAAACCCTAAACCCCTAAACCCTAAACCCTAAACCCCTAAACCCTAAACCCCTAAACCCTAAACCGTTTTAGGGTTTCGGGTTTCGGGTTCGGGACCAGTTGTCGCGCTCGGAGTTGACGCCGGGAGCCGGAGCTCAGCTCGGCGGAGTGGTCAGACTATCAAGGCTTCCTACTAGCTTAAAAGCACGAAAAGAGCCCTAAAAGGGTTTAGGGTTCATATACCATATAGGGATTCATAGTCCAAAGGAAAAGGGCCCCTACTTTTACGGTTCTTTTCGCTATCAAGGCTTCCTACTACTCCCATCTTGGAGGGTCGGGGGACGGGGGACTTAGTTCTTAGGGCTTAGAGTTTAGGTTTTAGGGTTTGGGGTTTAGGGTTTAGGATCTACTTGGAGG